GAATTCATCCTCCGAGGACATTCCTTCTTGCATTCTCTTGTAGTCTCTGCATCTGATAGCTCCTAATTGGAGTCGAGACATCCTTTGAGCAATTCTTGTAGTCTCTGCGTCTGATAGCTTCTGACTTGAATGCTGTTTAGACTTTCTTCTATCAGCCACGTTGATGGTGACTTCAGGGAATTCATCATTTTGGACAGCTGCTCTTCTTTTGCGGAAATGTCTCGGCTTAGGTTTCGATAATACAGAGACTTTTCGTGGGATGACTTCTCGTTTGAAACAGTCACATTCTGATAATGCTGTTTTGACGAGTCGTGCACAGGAACAACGAGAGTTTATCTCTCGAATAACTCTCTTTCGAAAATTATTCACAACTTCAACTTGATCATACGATTCATCGGTATGATTGCCAAAAAATCGTATCGTCTGTTGGTATGATCTCCCAGGTATGACGATATCATTTGGTGAATGCGTCTTCTTCTGGGGGTATAAAACCTTGTTGGCATTCTCAGGACAATTTATTTTTGTTTTTGAGCGATCCAAGGTTATGTTGGGAGTCGCACGTCTGAAACCACCCATTTGCGGGTATGGGGTCTTAACGGGCTCCGAATGCTGATTTTGCATAAGTCCAGACTTTGGAATCCAAACTTGACGAAGTTTTGGTGATTCTTTGGTCACCATTTCCTTTCTCTTTTCTCGTCTTTGTTGTGAGAGAGCATGGTGTTAGACCCTAGAGGGGGGGTGATTAGGGTCTTATGCTAATCTAATCCGATTAAATGCCAATTAAAAACTAATTAACAAGTTATCCTAGCAAGTATGAAATATCACAAGATATATGAGCTAGGATAAGCAATGTAAACAAAGAGATATATCCTATATGATAAAATATATATATATGCAAGGATATATAAACTAACACAAGGGGTAAACAATGTGAACTAGATAGTGGATCATATAAATGATGAGCTAATGACAATGGCGATAAGAAATATAAACACAAGTATAAATAAACGCCAAAGCACACTCAAACACAAGATATGATCACGGAGTTCGGACCTTCCGTCCTACGTCTCCGCTCCCCACTCCCGGGGAGAAATCCACTAACACAATCCGGTTTGGAAGCCGGAACTTCTTCTACACACTCGGTTTTCTAGCTAACCGAAAACTCTACAACTCACACTCTTGCAATCACACTCTACACCCACTAAGTGTTGGACCTAGCCGTGTCTCCCTCAAGTGCTCGGTTACAACCTCTCCCTAGGCACGTCAACCGACGCCACTCCTCTTGGGACGATCCCCGACTCTCACCACACACTCCTCACTCGGTGTACAAGTGTATTACAAAGTGATTCTCACAATAAGCACAAATATGACAAATGATTGTTCTCAAAACAAGGTGAGAACTCAATTAAGCACAACTCTTAGTCACAAACCCACAACCCCAAATTATACTATGAATGTAAATACAATAAGCTCAAAAGGTTGTGTGTGAACAAAGAGATATAAATCAAAACTAAACTCAATGTAGTTCTAGCTTAATAACAATGATAATCAAATATATAAAAAAGCTAGAAATAGAGTTTAGAAAACTTCTCAATATATCAAGAGTTGGAGGGAGAATAGTTGAATGCCCAAACACCAATAGATGATCTCCTCAAGCTCTTGTAGAATTGAATCACAAAAACAAACTCTCAATTTGCTTAAAAGCTTTTTAAACACACTTAAACCAAACTAAAACCCTTGTTAAAAACTTTATTAAACTTGATTAAAAACTCTCTTAGTTAGGTGGAGAGCTGAAGGCAATGGGGTATTTATACCCTCTCAAAACTCAGCCAAAAAACCCCAAGCCAAAGGACAACAAAGCCCCCAGAAAGCTCCTCAGAAAAGTAGCCGTTGTGCCCAACGGATCTATTGTCGGTCGACCGAAAATTCCGTCGGTCGACCGATGGAAAAATTCGGTCGACCGATGGAAAGTTCGGTCGACCGTTATCCAGGTCGAAAACAGGAAATCAAGCAAACACTTATCCGGTCGACCGGTGCGGTCGACCGAAGGAAGCTCTCGGTCGACCGGACCGGTCGACCGACGACTCTCTGGAAAACTTCTGAGAAATGGTCAATTGACCGGTCGACCGTACCGGTCGACCGAAAACTGACATCCCAGATTCTGAAAACTGTTTATCTGATTTTTAAAACACTGTTTAAAAATATCAAATAAATTCAGAAAAATGTAAAACTTTGGGGAATGATTGTAGACATGATAATACACATGCTACAAAAACTGGTTTTCTAAAAAGACTTCCCAAATGAGAAATATCATCATTTTACAAAATAGTCCAAAACATGAAAACCTGAAAATTGATATTTTGATATTTTGACTTAAACAACATTTTGAAACCTTATGAAATGATTGTATAGACTTGATAAAAGATATAACATGTTGTTATGAAGTCTATAACCTAGAAATACAATATTTTCATAAAATTGCATATTCTATGCAATATATTCAAAACACTAAATATGATTTCATTAAATATAAGCTTGTTAAAGGTGAAATCATATATAGGCATATAAACATGAAACAAAATAGTATTTTCCAATTCTATTCATTTGTTTCATAGTAAAACTTGAAAACTATCAAACCAAAACATATATGTATATATATAACTATATATATACAAAAACCAAAACGTGTATGTGTGTATATGATTGAGCTTAAAGTACTAACACACATAATATAAATTCCTAAACTAAATTACCCAAGCAATGATCTTGATCTTCAATAAGCTTGACTTGGTAATCTCGCGGATGAAGCTTGAACTTGGATCTTGAACTTTGAATAGCAAGGCTTCACCGACATTCCGCCAACCTCCTTTGGATATGATCGTTGAAGCTCTATTCCATCCATCCTCCAACAACGTTGTTTGTCTACAAAACATAGGAATGCACAAACACTAGACAAACAACATTAGTAATAAATTGTTTGTTAAACATCATCAAAACAAGAAGGCCAACAATCTCCCCCTTTTTGATGATGACAAACAATTTACAAAAAGGAATATATGCATGAAGGAAATGAACATATACAAGATAATAACTCACATGCATATAAACACACGATGTTTTTGTATACGTTCTTTGAGGGTCGAACGAGCCCTTTTGACGAGTGTCCATTCCTCCGTCGTGAATTGTGCAGAAACGTGAGTAGTTTGTCGTTGCGTTGAACAAACCACTTGTTGTTTCCTCGACTCTAAGTCCGCATAATAACGAACTCCGTCGGTTTGTTCAAATGCCTTAGCTATTTGACGAGCACGACGCTGACGCTGTCTCTGACGAGCTCTTTTCGTCAATGTCGTCGGGCTTTGATTCGATGACTCTTCAATTAGATAAGAGCCATTTTGAGCAGAGGTGTTGCGAGTGAAATTCTCAGCAACAATCAAGCGAGAATCTTCATTTTGTGCCTTCTTTGGCATGTAAGTCTTCCTCAATTGTGAGATCCTCTTGTATTTGCGAGAGGATGATGAGAGATATTCCTCAAACTTGGTTTGGTCGAATTCGTATTCGACCATGGATTCAACTGGAATCTTGATCGGCTGCGACACGACGGTCTCGGCAGCGAGACCGTTGGCTCCCACTGTGGTCGCCAGTTTGTTTTCGCCAAAAGTCGAATTTGTTGTCGAATTCATTATATCTTCGGTCGATTACAATAAATTCAAAGAAAACAGCCTTTTTATAAGACTCTTTTACACAACAAAAAGAAAATTACAACTCTTGAGAAAATAAACGCAGGATCGTTGTTTGGATCACTGCTTTCGTGGGATCTTTGCCTGTGCCGGGAGCGCTTTGACTCGTGGACCGCCAAGTCACAGATTCTGATTGAATCGTGAGGGGTTTATGATTCTGACTTCGTTTATCGAAGTGAGAAATTGAAACGATATCTTATCGATGTAAGATAGTCGTTCTTCGCGTTAGCCCGTGGACCACCAAATCACAGATTCTGATCGAATCGTGAGGGGTTTATGATTCTGACTTCGTTTATCGAAGTGAGAAATTGAAACGATATCTTATCGATGTAAGATAGTCGTTCTTCTTGAAATCAAGTCAAAGCCTGATTATCAAGGAGTGGCCGTAAGATCAGCACCTCTGCTCTCTCTCTGCTCTGGATTGCTCTGAAGTGCTCACAATGATCAGCCCTGGATCTCTCTGCCGGAATCCCCCTCTGAAAATGGCCTTCGGGGGGTATTTATAACCCTCTGGATGAACAGTGCTCGCGAGACGAGACAGTGTTTGCTGTCTCGCTGGGCGAGACAGTGTTTGCTGTCTCGCTGGGCGAGACAGTGTTTGCTGTCTCGCTGGGCGAGACAGTGTTTGCTGTCTCGACCCGCGAGACAGTAAATACTGTCTCGGAAACAGTAACCGCAGGCAGTTTTCGTTTTAACTGCCTTCCCACGTTTCAAACTCCTTTATTTTGGCAGTTATCCACGTGATTCTCGCCCACGATGTTTCCCACGTTCTTGAACAGTTAGTGGCACGTGTAGGGCAGTTACAAAGGCGGTTTTGACCATCTGAAAACTATCTCACGTGCGAGACAGTAAATTCTGTCTCGCACGGCGAGACACGTGGGCGAGACAGTAAAAGTCTGTCTCGCCCGCGAGACAGTAAAGACTGTCTCGCACGGCGAGACAGTAAAGACTGTCTCGCGCGGCGAGACAGTCAAGTCTGTCTCGTACGGCGAGACAGTCAAGACTTGTGTTTTTTTTCTGCCTTTTTGGATGATTTCCTCTTGAGCTGTATTTGGATATCTTTCAGCATTTTTTGACGCCTACAATTATCACTTGGAATACATACACATGGAGGAGTTACCTCGGTCTTGATCCCGCGGAACACCCCGATTCCAGCCACAAAGGAGAACAACTTCACTACCACTGCCGATAACCAAACAAGCGTCCGTATCCAGGTCTTCGAAGGCGAGAGAACGATGACCGAGGACAACAATTTGCTGGGGAAATTTAAGCTCTCTGGCATTCCTCCTGCCCCGAGGGGTATTCCACAGATTAATGTTCGTTTCGATATAGATGTCAACGGGATCTTGAATGTCTCTGCTGAAGACAAGGCGACCGGGCAGAAAAACAAGATCACGATCACCAACGACAGGGGCAGGCTGACCAAGGAGGAGATTGAGGAGATGGTTTTTGAAGCGGAGAGGTTTAAGGCAGAAGACATGGCAAATAAGAAAAGGGTAGAGGCGAGGAACGCACTCGACAGCTACGCATATGGGCTGAAGAGCACTCTCAAGGGTTTGTCGACGATGGCCTCTACCGATAAGAAAATGGTCGAGGGAGCAGTTGAGCGGACTATCGAATGGCTGGACGGTAACCAGTTGGCCGAGACCGAGGAGTTTGAGTATAAGAAGAAGGAACTTGAGGAGATATCCAACCCTATCTTTGTGAAGATGTACAGGGGCTGGTGATGATGCCTCATTCCCTTGATGCATGATGCAATCTTCATCAGTTCATACCCACTGAAGTACGACGTTCGCCGGTAGTTGCTAGTCCTGAACTGCTCTGTCAATTTGGATCTCTTCTCATAGAGGGGCCATGATTTAAGACAGTACTTATTTTATTTTCATGTTCTATCCTGCACTCTGGGTACGTGTTTATGCTTCTAAATCAATGTCATCTTCTTTTAGGTTAGAATATATATAGAATATAGATAGACAGAATATAGGAACTCGTTTAAGCTTATGGTTGATGTTTAGATATTTATTGACACCTAATCAACTCGCATTATGATGAGATAATAGTTTGATCTGCGGGGATCATATCAAATGAAAATAGAATGAAGTAGAGGATGAAATGATCATTCCCACTCTCCCGATTTGGATGCTATTAGAAATTATAAAATCGAGCGTGAATGACAATCTTATTCTCAATCTCACGTTTATCATCATTTATTCACAAGTGGGAATGACGTGTTGTGTTCTAATAATAATACCCTTGCAACAACATTGAATTTTAAAATATTAAATATATATATATATATATATATATATTTTCAGGTTTTAGAAATAAGTTTCATGGAGATAATTTTTCAAACTTTTTCATATAAATAATCTTTCATGATATAGTTTTATTTTGGTGCATCACATCTGCAATGATTTCCGTCTTTTGACTTACTAACCAAAAAATATCTTTCACGAAATTTATTTTGAATAAAAATAATTATTGTAGGCTGTCTAAAAATCACAATAGATAGTTGATCCCCCCATCAAACACCGATGATGGAAGTTACAATCTGACGACTTCCAGAAGGCTACAATTTGATAACTTTCACGTAGAAGGCTACAATCTGACGACCTTCACGACAACTGATGAAAGCTCTAATTCAACAGCCTTCACAATCAACATCGGGAGTTACAATCTGACGACTCTCATATTTTCAAAGAGCCAAGACGAAGGTTACAAGGTGACGATCTTTGCAACGCTCTAGCAAAAGAGACTACAAATTGACGGTCTCTTCATATTAAAACGCATATATCTCTCAAACCGTAAGGAATTTGGCAAAACGGAGGAAGCGAACCGAAGCCTTTGGCTAGGTTCGGATGGATCCGCCTCGTCGAGATAGTCGATTTTCATATATAATTCGTCCAATTCCGACTTACGGTTTGAAAGTTATGACCTGTTCGTCGCAGCAAATTATGTTCTGAAGTCCGTCTGCAAGACCGGACTTCGTCAGAACATTGGACTTAGCTTGAAGCTCGCCAAGCCCGCCTAAGATTCGCCTCTGCATTATAGAGTCAAAACGCACAGGTGGAACCAGCGTTATAACCTCAAAACGCAGAGGTTATCCTTGTGATATAACATCAAAACGCAGAGTTACGACCCAACTCTGCGTTTTCAGCCTAAAACGCAGAGTTACGGCCCAACTCTGCGTTTTCAGCCTAAAACGCAGAGTTCACCTCTAAAACGGCCCAACTGTGCGTTTTCAGCCTAAAACAGGCTCAACTCTGCGTTTTCAGCCTTTAAACAGGCTCAACTCTGCGTTTTCAGCCTAAAACGCAAAGTTCATCTCTAAAACGGCCCAACTGTGCGTTTTCAACCTAAAACAGGCTCAACTCTGCGTTTTCAGCCTAAAACGCAGAGTTCATCTCCAAAACAGCACGACCTGTGCGTTTTCAGCCTTTAAACAGGCCCAACTTTGCATTTTCAGCCTAAAACGCATAGTTCATCTCTAAAACAGCACGACCTATGCGTTTTCAGCCTTTAAACAGGCCCAACTCTGTGTTTTCAGCCTTTAAACAGGCCCAACTGTGCGTTTTCAGGCCTAACTCTGCGTTTCAGGTCCAGAAACGCACAGTTCGGGCCCAGAACACTGTTTTCAGCGTTTTGACTCGTTCAAAGCACTAACAGAACGGTTTCAAAACCGTTTTCCCCACGATTTAGGGAGCTGTTTAAGAGGGGGCGGTTACACCCCCACTCAGCCTATTGAGGAGCAGATTAAGGGGATAGTTACCACCCTTAATCCCCTATAAATAGTGGGAAACTCAACTGACTTCGGGGCTCTCTTGGATCCTTCTTTTTGGGGGCAGCAAAGAAGAGATCTTCGGCTAGCTTCTGATCGGATTTTATCTCATCAACAGAGAGGTATTCGGTCAAGGGCTTTTGGGATCTGAGACTTGGCAGCAAAGGGGGAATTTCTTGGAGATCGGATCATTCTCCAACAGAGATCATCTTCAAGATTGGCAACAGGAGCATTCCCTTGGCTTATAACCGACTTTCGGTTCAAATCAACTCTTTTTCAAGAGGTCAAACTCGTTCAGAGTTATCAACTCGATCAGAGTTCAAAACTTGCTCTGCAAGTTCTTCTTCAAACTCGATCAGAGTTATCAACTCATCAAGAGTTTTAAACTTGTTTTGCAAGTTCTCCACAGCGTCAAATCGTGAGGAGAAGACTACGTTCCAGTGAATCAAGACGTGCGGATCGTCAACGGAGAGCAAGTTCGACACAATCAATCGAAGGAGGCACTCCATCGCTACCAAGAAGAACCCAGTTTTAAACAAAGGGGATAATCAAATTCGTTCTCCTCTCTTTTGTAATCGGAATCCAAATTGTAATTGATTTTGAGAGGAATACAAGTCAATTTTTCTTTCATTGTCTTTTTACTGTAAATTTCCAACAAACAATTACATTTTATATTTATTATGTTGGCTATAGTTTAAAATCTAACTACGGTGAGGCATATCTATGTTTAGGCAGCTGAGCTTCGAAAAAAATAGAATCGTGATTTTTTTTTTAAGATATGTTTCATACGTGCTAGATGGGGGCATCATTTTTTAATATTTGTTTCTCTAGTAAACGAGGGCAAAATCGTAAGTTATGTAATAATTATGACTCCCACTTAAAGAGGCAAAATCTTTATTCTTCATCCTGCACAAACTTAAATTTCTTCGACACTTTTATCCAATAAGATTCTCCTTCATCCTCTCTTTTCGTCTCATCAGTAGAACACCCTTCTTCACTTGTTGGTTTTAGAGATGTAGACCCAAACTTTGGAACAAGCATACACAGCAGGATTTTTTTCTAAGTTTGGAAATCAGGCGAAGCAGGCGGAACTTAAGTTCAGGCGAAGCAGGCAAACTTCGCAGTTCAGGCGAACTTCGTAGAAAACATATTCCTATTCTGTTTCATTTTTAGGGTTTGCTTATAAATAGGGATGTGAGGGCTGCGTTTTTCTTGCTGTTGTTTCTGATTTTTAAGAGCAATTTTAGTAGCGAATTTCAGAGAAAATTCAGCACTTTGAGATCAGAGATCTTGGAGAAAGAGGTAGCCATTTGCAGGCATTGTAATCTTCATCAATAATCAAAGAATTTCTGGTGTGGCTCCCGAGAACGTAGACACGTTTGCCAAACCTCGTTAAATCCGGTGTTCTCTCTTCTTTATTTATTCTTTCCTGCAAGTTTTTTATTTTGTTGTGATTTCTTGCTTGCTATTCTTTCGACACAAGATCCAGAGGACACGGTTGTTGATTTTCCAACACCCAACATCACTTCCCCTAACTAAACCAAACCCTAATCATAATGATTAACCACTTCTTTGGATTAGGGTTTGGGTTTGAAGTAGGAGAGATTAAAGGAGAAGAGAGGGCTTCATTGATGAGAGAGAGAGAGAGAGAGAGAGAATTGAGGAGGGTCTTGTTGAACAAAGGGGTAGAAGAAATTTTAGTTTGGGGTGGTTGAAGGAGAAGAAGGGTGTGAAATACAATAATTTTAAGAGATCGGGTGGGATGAAGAAATTTTTTTCCAATAAATAACTACATATTGGGCTGGAAAAATTAAACGCCGAGGAGATTTTGTACTCAAATGCCACTTTTTCAAACTTTAAATGCCAAAAAAGCACTGGGATTATTTTAAATATCAAAGTAGTAAATGTGATTTATTTTAAATACCAATCTAATAATTTAACTTATTTAAGTGCCAATTTCCCTTTTTCCTAGCTCTCTTTTAGACTATAAAACTCACTCCCTACAGATATAGCTGGGGTTGGCCGACCTTAAACTATTAAAGTTTGCCGCGTGCAGCCGAAAGCTTACCGCAAGTCCAATTTGTCTTCTTCCTTTACCTTATAAATAAATAAATAAAATCCTTCCAAAAATTTCCACTGTATTTTGCTCTTCTCAGTCATATTATAATCTTGGGCCTTGGAGGACATTAGTCATGTTATCACATTATAAAACTTGTGGGGGTATTTGATCGTACAGCAGAATAAAGTGCAGGCACAGCCAGTGAAGGCATCATCATGTGAATGCTTTTATACTCATTACATTAATACGCCAGGACCCAAATAGGAGACCTAAGGCATGGGACAGACGGGGTGTCAACATCCGGTTGCATGATGAACTGTTCATAAACAGTTCATTGTTTATGAACAGTTCATCATGCAACCGGATGTTGACACCCCGTCTGTCCCATGGCTTGGATCCCCTATTTGGATCCTTGTAGCAACACCCTACTCAATATTGTACCCTACTCAATATTGTTTTGGTGTTGAGCTATAATAGCTCCAGGTGTTAGGCTATGAACTTAGGCATCTAACTTTGCCTAATTCCCTTTGGTATCTTGTTCATCATCATCCTTGTTAGCCTTTTGAGGTTATCAATGCCTATAATTGTTCTTATGGAAAAGATAAAGGAGGGAAATACTGTGCTTATGGAAAATTTTCAGAAATTTTTTCCTCTTTTTAGTTTATTCTCTCATTTATTTTAAGCCGTGGAAAAAAGAAAAGAGAAGGGGAAAAAACCTGGTAACTAATGACATTTTTGTTGTATAAAGACTGGGGATCTATAATTCAGGGGAAAATGACATCTCAATATGAAGTTAGGATTCTTTTCACGGGTCGAAATCTGAACTTTTTTTTTCCTTACATGCATAACATCTTGAATCCTTTTAAATTCATTTTAAATGCATATCATCTTGCATCCTCTGATATAAAATTTACAATGTTATGATGATGGTTGAGGGTTACAGTCTTATAGCAAACCACCATTGAGGTTCCCATGCACGAATTCTCCGATTGTATCTTGCACTTCTTGAATATGAGAAGGAATTACTTCCATCTCATTAGAGAGAGAGAGGAAGAAAAATAGATGATTATGTAAGTTTGGATATAATACTCAAATTTCTCTATTGAGTTAAATTGAGCTCAGAACTATTAATCTCCATCTTCACACTTTTAAGTAAAATCCTTGCTTGTAGTGCCCTTTATATTCCTTGCTCATGGGATGAGGCAAGATTCTGCAAAAGATAAAAGCATTATTGCTGCCAGGCTTTGCTGCTAAAAAACTAAAAACATTGATTTGATGAAGATGCCTCTATTCCAAAAACCAATCAATCAATCAAACTTTTGGCCCACCATATAGTGTGACTTTGATTACTCTATTTCCATCTCAAAGTTAACACAAATGAGCTCCAAATTTTCTCCTTATCCATTGCTCATTCTTATGCTAACAGTAAAATTTTAAAATTGGTTGCACTTAAAGAGTAACCACTCCAGTGACTTCACTACAAGCAAGAGATGTTGAGGCACAAATGGTACCTCTTTTGTCTCACCTAATCACATGATTGATACCAAAAATTATTGCATCCTTCGGTCATTAATACCTAATCTTCTCTGCGTGAAAGAAAAATCAAAGGGCTCGAACATTGCAACACTCAATTGGTTCCAGCTGCCAACCATCTTCTGATTCTAGAAACCATTCATAGTCGAGGATCGTTTGCTTCGTTGCAATTGCAAGGACTGTATTTCGATTCGTGGCAATTGTTTCTTTAATCGTCGCTAATAAATGCATCTACAACTATGATTGCAAAAATACATTTAATAGCTGCAGTAAATGGTGATTAGTACATTTTTTGCACTGCGAAGGAGATCGATAATTAAACTCCAATTGCACCAAATTGCAACGGAAGACTAAAACCTGGCACCCAAAACAAACAAACTACATCTACAACTGCAGTGTGTAAGTAGTAAACTTCAAATGCAACTCCAATTGCTCCTTAAAATTTACTTAACACTGTTTTCCCCTCGTATGCTTGCAGCATTTTCCTATTTTCACACTCTAAAGAATTATGGGGAGCTCTAAAAATAACGAAAGACGGCAATTTGGAAGAAGATGGTTACGAAAGACGATAGATAGAGCCTTTGATCCTAATTTCTGAAATTATTACTGTAATTGGCAACACCCCCAATCTGAGCAGCCCCCCTACTGAATCCAAAAGAGTGGGATTTTCTCTCTTTTTCAACGCAAGGAGTCCGCAGAGAACTCGACACCAAGCAACAAACAATCCAAAAGTAGCAGCCGCAAATTTATACGGAAAGAAGAACTCTTTTAATCAAGTCATTTCACCAAACAGCCCTAACTAAATATACATTAAAAGTGATTGTTTAAAAAAAATCACAGATTTTTTTTTTAATCAAGGCAATGGGTTTACCTGCGAAGAGCTCGGGGGGTTTTTCCCAATAAAAATTGTGATAAAAGACCCATCCTCCTCCTCTAAACCCTTTGAACTAGGAACGTGAGTAGTCTTCGTAGCTTCCTCTCTCAGCGTCCTCATATACAATTTCTCCTCAGCATCCCTCAAGAACTTGAACTTCGGAGGAGGTGAAGACTTAACCGTCCTGTTATTATTATAATAATTGCAATTACCCACCTCGTCGAAAAGAGGGTTTGGGGTTAGCGGCGGAGTGAAGAAAGGAGGAGACGACAGAGGAGTCAAAAACGGGGGAGTTTGGTCAGAAACTTGCAGCATGTCACTCAAGCTCCTCCCCCTTCTTGATTTGCCATCGTCGGACTCCAAATCCTCTTTGGTCTCCTCTTTGATGGTGAAGAGGAATCTCGGGGGCCCGGAGAGGGAGTGGAGCCTCATGAGCTCCGCCTCCATCCCTTCTTCTTCTCCTCCTCCTCCTCCAAAAGGATTAATGAAGGCGTCATTAGATGGCGCGTTTGGGATCTCTTGAGGGTTGAGGGCTGATGAGGCTAAGGAGTTTGGCTTTTTCCAGCAGAAGAAGTAAAGGAGCTCTCTTGCTGGGCTTTTGAAGCTCTCCTCTTCTTCTTCTTCTTCCTCCTCCTCCTCCGCCTTTTCTGAGATTTCCCTGTTGGGTGTTCTCTTTTTCCACCATAGCAAGTAGCAGAGCTCGGCGAGTAGAGCGAGGAGGAGGAAAGAGGAGACCAAGGTCAGCCCAGTGCCCAAACTGCTCAAAGGCCTCATCTTTCGATCAAAAGGACGGAGATTTCGGCGAACGCAAGAAGACCCAGATGCTGAAGCTGCAGAAAGGTTGAAGCTTTAACCATCAGAAAACCACCATTAGCTTTTGAAATTTTCGAGAGCTGGAAGCAGCGGAGGGCGGGTTGCTGTCGATGCTGTGGCTGTGATTTGTGAGGGGGGGAGGGGGGTTTGAGGGGTTCGAGAGAGGATCACATGGGCAAAGAGACTGGAAAAGGCCGGTGTCGTTTTCCGAAGGCCAAAAGAAAATCTTAAAACTTTTTTTTTTAATTCTTTCTTTTTTTATTATCATATACTAGTTTGGTTGGTTTTTTTTTTTCTACATTAACCCTGCTTTTTTTAATATGATATGATTTGAATTTTTGAAAGTACTACAGTATCCCGCTCTACAACAGTATCTTTTAAATGTTACAGTATACCCGTGTGCTACAGTACTATTTTAAATTAATTATTAGCTACAGTAATAATACTACAGTAAATACTACTGTAGTATTTACTGTAGCGTGAATAGTGAATCTGTGGTGCTCCTATTTGGATAAAGGAATAGATATATATAGCTCTTGCGAAAAGTTTTTATTGTGACGGGGATGATGGCCTTCATTCTGAGTCTTAATGACGATAAGACTTCCAGCAAGGGTTCGGATTTAGTCCACTGCATGCAGACATTGGAGTGATCATAATCATACTTTTAAGGATAAATTGCATATAATCCCCCAACTAATACCTTTAACCGCAACAACCCTCTCAAATTTTCCGGTAGCACTCAGCACACAGGAGAGGGGTGTTACCCGAAAATTGTCTTTCTAAAAATGACAATACACAGACGGTAAGTGCTAATAAATAAGTTAAATAACATAGTGAAAGAGTTGCTTGCAATTTATCCTATTTTAAAATATGATTATCAATATTTTTTATATATTGATATATTAAATTATTAATATATACTTATATAGTATATAATATTATATATATATATATATATATATATATATATATAAAGTATTATGATATAATAATATAAAATATTATAATTTATTTAATAAATTGCTTCTAGGCCCCAAATTTGAACTTTCAATGTGCGCTCAACCCCGCCTTTTTTTTAAATGTGCTTTAAACCCTATTTTTTTGAAAAAAAATGTGCCAAGACCCTCCATCATGATTCCAGCTCATGCCAATGCAGTTGATTAGACATGTCAGATCATGATTAGACATGTCAAGCTGGCTTTAATCCTAAATTTTACTGCTCGCTCTTTCTCATGCTAGTGGATGTTAACTCTTGGCAGCTAACATGTTAACTCTTATATTAATGTGCCTACACGAAGTTCCTTGTGACGGCACCGAGCGGCAGAGCGAGGGAGGGGGCAGAGGGGGACGGAGGAGGAGAGGGAGGTGTAGGGGGAGGTGCAGCGAGGGAGGGAGGGAGGCGGGGGAGGGGAAGGGAAGCGGGAGGTGCAGCGGGGAGGGAGGCTGGGGAGGAGGCGGAGGGAGGTGTAAGGGGAGGGGAGGAGGCCGAGCGGGGGAGGGATGCGAGCGACGCTTGGGAATGCGCTGGCGGCAGAGCGGGGAGGGGACGGCGACGGTGGAGGCAGTGTGTAGGGGAGGCGGGCGTGTGAGAGGGGAGGACGTGGGGGAGGGGAAGGGAGGCGGCGTGGGGAGGAGGATGGGGGCGAGGGGAGGGAGGCGGAGGCGGAGGAGGGAGCCAACACGGGAAAGGGGCAAAGGGGGACCGGCAATGGAGGAGGAGGATGGAGGTGAAGGGAGGGCAAAATCGGGTTTTTGGATATGGAGGGGTCTGGACGTAATTTTTTAAAAAAGGAGGGGTTGCAGCACATTAGGGAAAGTAAGAGGGGCTGGGGCACAATAGAAGTTGGGTTTTGGGACCTTGAAGCAATTTTCCCTTATTTTTATCTAAATATCCTATTGTCATTAATATATTAAGTTTTTAAATAATAATGTATTAACAATTTCTTTCTATAATATTATTATATTATGATATTTTTATTATATTAATATTTGTTATAATATACGTAATTTATCATTAATAAGTTATTTACTTTATAATATATAATTATTTTTTCCATTATTTTATAATTTAATATAATATTATTATATTTTGATATTATTATTATATTAATATTTGTTATAATATATGTAATTTATCATTAATAAGTTATTTACTTTATAATATATAATTATTTTTTCCATTATTTTATAATGTAATATATTATTATTTTTTATAAAATATATTATGAATATATTAATATTTAATCTTTTATTCTAATAGGAGTTATTATTTTACTACTAAATATTCTTATTACATAAATATATTATAGAACATATTATTCATACATTAATAATATATTTTATTAATTAAATAATATAGTAGAGTACTTTTTTGTTATATAATTCAATATTATATCGTTACTATAGTATTATTTATTAACAATAAATTATTATCTATTGCTTTATCAATATATTTTATCTTATTATTATTTGCTATTAATTTAATGTAAATAATAGTATTTAAAATGTAATTATTATATTATCTTAGTTATAACATTATATGTATTATTAATTAATGGTATCGATCATAGTATTGATACATTAGGAATATAATATTATAATGTAATTTATTTAAATAATATAATATTATTTAATATTATATTATATTATAGATTGTAACAAATAGAATATATTTTCATTTTATTACTATATTTTATTTATATATCTAATTTATTATTATTTAATATTAATATAATATATCTAATATAATAGTATTTGAAATATAATTATTATATTATAATAATTATAATATTATATATATTATTCATTAATGATATTAAACATAATATTGATATATTTGGAAACTAATGTTATAATGTAACATATTAAATAATATAATTTAATACTATATTATATTATGTTTTTGTAATGAATATATTATATTAGATATATTATTAATACACTATGTTAGACATTATATTAATACCCTTGAAACTCAAAACGTGAATACCAAACTTGAAACACTTTTTTGATGTTTTAAAATAATGTTATATTTTTTATTTTTGTTATTAAAACCTAATAAAAACATCATAATTTTCAAACACATGAATGTTTTGCCTTTCACTAAAATACCATGCAAATCCTAAAAACACCGTGGCGGCCGAACGCTGCCTTAATAATAAAGCGAGCGTTGCGAGCTCAGTGCATTAGAATTTAGATCCCATCAACTAACTGTCCACGTGTGTGGTAACGCGAAATATCGGTCTCGGAATCAGCGAAAAGAACTCCGACACGTTGAGCCTTCAGATTCCCAGTTTAGTACGGAAAGAAGCAAGGGTCAATACAGCGAAGACAAAGGCGGAAGGACACGCGTCTTTTATTTACTGGAGGTACCGCGATAACAGTGCTACACATGCGGATCATTATACGGACCATTTATTTACTACTGATGCATCGGATCTCACCCCAGAAGAAACGGCGAGTTGGCTTTTCTATGGATGGGCCGCGGTTTTTTATGCAGATTAGTACTTAAAGAAACGTAAATTCAAAGAAGACACGTAAAAGATTTTGAAATAAAATTGTCTCCATTTGATTATAGTAATGTAGAAAGTTAGTGAAGGCGATTTTGCTTCCACTTCATCTAATAAGGAAAATTAGTACAATAATCCATGAGATCATCATGATTCACTAACCCCAATGACGAGTTAATTACGGCACACAGGTGACTAGTGAGTAGTTTTCTTCCACAAAGCAGGAGGAGATGCTTAACTAAAGTAATTACAATTAGAAGAATAATTTGCGGAGAATCACCCTCTGTCAAATCTACTATATATTGTGTCAAAATTCTGAAGTTACGAGTCAAAGCCCGGACTCACGGGGCGAGATCTTAGAAATTTACAAGGACAGAGATTCAATCTTGGATTTCTACGGTACCACGCGTCAACAGATCCTGACACCACACCAAACTTCGAAAATTGTATTCAAAAATTGAGTGTTGTAATTTTACACTCTGAATATGAACCATCAACTTGTTTGTTAGCGCTTATCATTCCTTAATTCTTGAAAAATAGGATGATATTTGTAATTTATCCTGCTCAAAATGTTAGGGACTCAGGGGGCATAAGTGCTAACTGAATGTGTGAATGAGAGGATTATCTGCAATTTATAATGTTCAAAATACAACTTGCTTAATAACTAGGTGTAATAAAGAGGAAATATGTGCTACGGAAGGGATTTGTTTCTAGCATAAGTTTTATCATAACTGAAACCTATCAAAACCTAGACTTGAAATGAACACCTACTATGTATAGATAAAAGTTATCTTAAAGAATAATGCAGCCTGAGCCTCTTAAGAATATGACATTAATTAAGCGGCATCTTTCTTATCTATTCAGTTAAATTTCAGGATCAAGGGAAAATGACTGCTCATCTCCTAGTTTAACAAACTTTCCATCAAGATTCAATCTTAACTAGATTGCTACTTGTAAATTAGTAATTAAGGTACTGTTTGGCAAAGGGTTAAGTGAGGGGTTAAGGAGACTTAACCCCTTCTTAACCTGCCAAACACAACAAATCTATATAAGGGTTAAAGTGAGTTAACCCTCCATAATTTGCCAAACATAAAAAATATAGAAGGGTTAAGTTAACCCCTCTAGAGGGGTTAAAATGAGTTAACCCCTCAAAATGAGGGGTTTACTAATACTCCTATTTAGATGGAATAAGAGTTAACCCTTCTAATTATAAAGAAAATAGTCAAAATCATTGTTATTCCCAAACACTAAAACTGATCATAAGGGCTAAAATAAAACTTATTAAACAGGTTAATAATTTAGTCCTTCGGATTATCAAATGGGCTAAGTACATTAATCATTCTCTTTAACCCCTCTTCATTAACCATTTGCCAAACGGGGCCTAGGGCAATAAATAATACTATTTGAGTTCAGTTTTCATCATCTACAATGTGGAATCAGACAAATACTTAAAAAAGACAATTATAATAGCAAGGGATCAACGATGCCTGCTTAATGTCAAGCATAGCAGACCGACACGCGCAATGCACGTGTATGTCTGTGTGCACTGGCATAGCTTAAAGATCCAGCCAAAGATGAGAGTCAATTTGCTTCCAATCTCAAATAACGGAGAAAGGATTACATTGGATAAATTCATATAAGTTTGAAGATTGCATATCCAGGAAAGAAGAAGAAAATTTTGCAGGGTTAG